ATGATTGCCTCTCACCCCAAAAGGCCTTGGTTCAATCCCAGTCGGCACCGCCATGATTTTCTGAGGCAAAAAATTTCTGATCATGTCACGATCATGATGGCATTAAATCTCTGGGAAAAAAAGCCGTTGGTCCATGAGTCCATGATGGGTCGAAATGTAGGGTCCAGGTATGAGAGGTGTCTCCCTGGCGTCGGTACCATTGGTACTCAGTACGGAAAACAAGATGAAGGGAAAAAAACATAAGGGCAGCTCTGAAAGATTCTGGAATATTTTGGAAATTTCCGGGCAGTTTAAAGTTCATTAGATTTAAGAAAACTGCAGAGAGCTTAGGAAAAGTCAAGAAAGCTGCAGAGAGCTTAAAAAACTCAAGAAAACTTCAGATATGAAGAGAGAACTTAAAGAAAATGTTGTTATCCAAGTACCCCAGATAAGCTCTAGAGATTTTTTGGGAATTACAGAGATCTTATTAGCATTTCCATTATCTTCAGCGAAGTTCCGAGAACTGCAGAAAAGTCCTGAAGTTCACGGAACTGTTCTGAATTTATTGGAGCTTACGGTTACGCTTAAAACTTCCCCTTAAAGTCTTATCGGAGAAGTTTTAAGCGTAAGCGTAAGTTCTGCGAGCTTAAGTTCCGATAAATTTAGAACAGTTCGGTGAACTTCAGGAAAATATCGAAAACCCTAAGAAAGTTCCGACAATTTCAAAGTGGTCCAGAGATCTCCAGAGAATTTAAGAAAACATCATTGAAAATTTCTATTGAAGTCCAGAGAACATCAGAAAAGTTCAAAGGATTTTTAGGATAGTTCCATATGTCAGGGCAGTATCAAGAACTTTAAGAGACTTCAGAGAAATTTAGGGATGCTCCTAAATCATAAGGAAAATTAAAGAACCTATAAAAGAAGATCAATAAATTTCAAGCAAACGGCTGGAACTTTAAAGTAGTTCCGGGAAACACCAGGAATTTATGAAGTACTGAGATTTTCATTAAAATTTTGGAAAGAGACAAGATCATCAGGAAATTGTGAGCAAATTTTAAGGGAATTTCATGGCAGTTTGAAGAACATAAAAAACAGCAATAACCTCAGCAAAGATCAATTAACTTCTGAAAAGATTGGAGATTCTATGGAAGTTTCATTAAATTCATGGAAGTTCCGAACGTTGCAAGGACGATCAGAGATCTCAGAGCAGTTTAATAATTTAAGGAAAATTGCAGGAAGTTTCATTGAATTCCAAGGATTATGAGATATTGCGAGAATTTAGGAAAAGAATTTAGGATGTTCCGAGAAATCCAGGAAAGAAAAGAAATTTTTAGTAGAAGTTCCGTGAGCATTTAGACGTTTTCAAAACTTAAGTAAAATTACGGGAACTTCTAAAATATATAGATACGTTTAGGGAAGTCTTGAAAATTTAAGGGAAGTTAAGAGATCTTTCTCGTAGTCCCAATAACATAAGGAAACAAAATCAAACATAAGGAATGTCACTAATGGGAAAATTTAAAAATGCCGATGAATTTGTTCCCATAATTTTAGGGCATTTTTATGAAATTTCAAGAATGTATGTGAATATCTTAGAACGGCATTTATTATTTCGTTTTAATTTCAGGTAAATTGCGGAGTCTTAAAGAAGTTACAAAAATTTCGGGAAATTCCAAAGCACTCAAGGTAAGTTGAGAAATTTCAGGAAAACTGCGGAAACTTCATACAATTCCAGAAAACATCAAGAGAGACCAGAAAGCTTTGGAAAAATTCTGAGAACATCAGGAAAATCCAAAATCGTTTTAAAAGAAGTTCCGTAAGCTTCAGGTCGGATTAGAGAATTGACGGGACGTCACGGAATATCATTACAAATCTATTAATTTTCGAAAAATAGCGATTTTTTTAAAGAAGTTCCCAGATTTAATAAGAAAGTCCATAGAAAGTCACTCAAAAGCCAATTTCATCCAATATTTATATTTTTCAATTTGAGATTTCAGAAATGTCTAAAAACTAAACAAATCACATAATATAAAAAGTAATCATGCGGAACGATAGCATCATCATAGCCTGCCTATTGATTTTAATACCACAAGTATGTTAATTTTCTTAAATGTAAGAATATTATCGCATCACGGTATTCGATCGAGGATTCCATTTATTCTCTTTACTTCATTACCTTATAAAAACAATACAAATCAGTGAGAATAATTGGAATTGCCTACATTAAGCTTCAACGTAGACGTCAATGCATCAAAATGAATCTTCTTATGAGCATTACTTTCGATGTTTAGCAAACAAAAAGAACTCAGTCATTCAGTAGTTATCGATGTCCACAATGACCTTAATTTGCAATTGATCAAAGTTAATTTGCTGAAAGATCTTTTACCTCAACTCAACAATTGGTGAACAACAAGCACAGATATATTGGCAGACCAACGTATAAAATTAAACCAGAAGTTTAGCATGATTGAACATAAGATCACAGACAAACAGACATAACTCTAGCAAATTGTTCATCGAACAAGCATTCAACGGTCAATTTAAAAGTATCATAGTTGGTAGTACCGCCATCTGTGGCGCGCATAGTCAATTCCTTTGCGTTTGACGTGTGCACACTATCGCCATCTGTTCATCGTTCTATCCACCACAGTGTACTCAACAGATGGCGGTAATGTTTTAGCGACGATGTTTTACAGTGAGAAATATTCAATGTGTTGTGTCTGTTTGTCTGTGATAAAATGAAAATTATTTACTATAGCAGAAAAAAATATGATAAATTAAAAAATACAACAAATGTTTGCTCAGCTTCCATGATCGGGATCCCCCTTTGCCCCCCATCAAATCCAGCCCTGGGTGGAACGCACGCATCTTAAGCTTTAAATTTAACATGACAGTACTGTCCATAATGCCTCCTAAGTAGACCCGAAGAGATTTCTGGAGTTGTTTTATGAGGCCTCTACAATTAATTGACTCATATGACCCCTAGTGTTCACACATAAGCTTTCTATAGTTCCATCTATAAGACTACCAAAGTTGACCGGTTTCATTACTGGACTTCCGAACCCGTCACATCACAACTAATTGACACTGAAACCCCCTATCATCGACTACTCACCCAATAAACAAACAGAAATTTGTCATCCAGCACCGGACTGGGCTCATTCCGTTCGCTCCGTTGGATAACTTTTTCGCATTACTTACATTTTTCCACTCTACCTTAAGGGAATGATTAATTGATACTGGATTTACCAAGGAGATTCATCCGTGCCCTCTTGTGCCAGTATATGTGTTTATTATTAGCTCACGAAAACCTCTCGAAGACAAATGGATCGCACCAGCTTTTTTTCTTCCCATCGAAGATATGATGACAATCCTTGGCTTTTCCATCACTCATCCCCCAATACTGGCCGCACGCTCACTGATCCAGGTTACCGTTTTAAGCGGAGAAATGAATTTGTCATCGCGAATTTTGAGTCTTTCTCGGTCAGCAACTTAAGCGGCAGCCAAAATGTGCACAATCTTCGTTTGATAAATTGATGGATTATGGAAGGAGAAGTAAGCTTTGGGGCGGGAATTTTGACACAGTTATCGGTAACCGTTGTGTTCGAACGGACAGCTCAATCCAACAGTATTATGAGTTGTTTGGCATTCAAGATTAGCGACACGGCAGACTTCATTTCCTCCTTCGACATAATTAACTATGACCAAAAATGCCTAAAGGGCAATGTCGTCGCAGCTCCGAGCGTTCGGAGGTGTCATGGCGTGACTCAGATTACACCAGCGCGCAATTTTAGTCCGTCGCTTGGGTTTAATCCCGAAGACACGCAGCGAGGCTCGGCGCACTTGGCAACGTTGAAACAACCATATCCGTCTCGTAGAAGACCATGTGCAATGTCAATGCTAAAACAAGAAGACAAATCCATCACGCACTTCTTACGTACGCAGGCAATCATCTCTAGATCAACACCATCTCGGCGAAAAGTGCTTCTGACAATCGATGGGCATTCCCGCAGTGGCCATTTTTCGACACCACTTGGGGACATGACAGAACTTTAAGCCGATGTGACGACCGGTATTCCTCACAATCAATCATCCTAATTGAAAAGCCAGCCAATGCTGTTGCGTGACTCGAATCCTAGGTACGATCACATGTTGGAAAGAGCATACGCCTTCGGGAACCGGTTCTTGCCGTCAGAGTGGAAAATCGCGACCTCTTCCTAGTGACCCCGTTCTGATGAGATGAGAGTCAATTGATATTTTTCACCTTCCGCTGTTGCCAGCTTAAATGTCATCCATGAGTCTTCTCTCGTTCGACAGGATGCGTAAACGAGCAAAGTCGTTGACTAAATTACGCCCAGACATGCACCCACCGCCGCCGCATCACGACGACTTTTTGTATGCGAGCATATCCTACGCAGAATCCATGCGGGAGTCTACATAGTTGAGCAGTTATGTAACACCATGCGACGACGGCGACGATGACGGCGACAGCGAACCCTTACCGGGTGTGGATCATCTCTCTTCCACGGTATGTGCGCGGGGGGGTGGAAGGGAGAAATACCAACAGAGAAATAAATCTGACGAGGAAAGCCATTAAAAATGAGAAATTACCCCAAATGGGATCATGTTCAAGGGCTTTGTCAAGGGTCTCGTTGGGATGTCTTTATGCTGGGGCTAGAGGTTTTTGATTGAACATTTGTCGTGTTGTATCAATATGTCAAGATCAACAATTTAAAAGGCCTCAACTCCATTTTGTAAACAAACCTTGTAAGGCCATTTTCCCGCGAACCGAAGTTCGCCAACGCAAACCCACAAAACGAACGGGTAGGGGAAATTCTCCCGATTGTTTTTAAGGTTTGCGAATGGAGGCTTTGGTTCGCGAGAAAATGGCCTTCCAAGGTTTGTTTACAAAATGGAGTTGAGGCCTTTTCAATTGTTGGTCTTGATGTCTACGAAGACAATATAAGGATTTAACGAAGCAATCACTGGAATATAAAAATTTGATGACATATTTTTGTACTTACCTTTTCAAATTGAAGTCCAGAGCGCAATCTGAGAATCCAGTTTATTTATTGTCTGAAAATAAAAAAAATAAAGAATTATTTAGCTGATGACTGGTAAAAGTTCACGATTGTAATAACATTTATTTGTTTACTTTCTTTAAAAAAAAAGATAGGTACCCTTAAGTTAAGTGGGGAAAGGTGATCATGATGATGAGAACTACTATTTACATATATGGCAAATATTAAAATTAGTAATGGCAAAAAAATCAAATGCCATACGATGCCGTTTTTGAGTAAGTCGTTCATGATTATCAGAGTTACTATTTTCATAACCGTATACAAATGAACAAAAGGTCTAATGCTATTAACCCGTAAAAGCCCAGGACAAACTTTGTATTTTCAAAAAATTGAATCTCAGAGATGACATGGCCGATTAAATTGATTTTTTTTAAACATCAATACGGTGAGTGGTTCTTACATCTGTAGGGTGGTACTCCCCCCAAGCCCCCTCCCTCTTTGTTATATATTCAAGAATGTGTTGGCACGGTGGTGTTTTTTGCAATCTTTATCATATATCTTACTTATATGAGGCTATTCGGTCGATGACCGGGTAGGCACTCATCTTATTTCCTTTCAAAGATAAGGGAGCAGATGAGTATGCTGGTCGAAAGATCATATATGATAACCTTTGTATGGGACCCCTCACATTGCTCAATCCCAGGCAATGAGAAGGCGGACTCTCTCGCAAAGGTGGGCGCGCAGGAAGGCGCATTTTATGACAGGCAAATTTCACACGATGAATTTTACCATTTAGTGCGTCAGAGTACCCTTTCGAGTTGGCAAACCGATTGGGACAATGGAAATCTTGGACGGTGGTTACATTCAATTATTCCTAATGTTTCTTCGAGAGCGTGGTTTAAAGGCTTGGGGTTAAGTCGTGACTTCATTCGCGTGATGAGTAGATTTATGTCCAATCACTACTCGCTAGATGCGCATCTCCATAGAATAAACCGGTGTGGAAACTGTTACGATGACATCGATCACGTGTAACCCTCGTCTAGGGTGACAATTAATAACCCACCCTTTTAACGTGTTTGCCATGAGCGTGTGCCTTGTCTGTTATGATTTGTTTTTGTTTTGGTCGCACGCTCGGCAACATACTCACCACTGCTTTATTTGTAAATATTTTAATTTGTTATTTTCACCGTAGATTTTATTCGTGTAGGCATGTTTTTAGGATTAGAATATAGTGTAAAAATTATCGTTTAAAATTGTCTCGCGTGTAGAATAAAGCTAGGTCCCGTTTCTCCTCCCGCTGCAAAATAAGGCGAAAAAACATAACCAGCACAACATTCGAGCGCGGTTGCAGGAGAACGATGGCGGTTGTTGTATTGTCCGTGATTGTCAGCTAGTACGAGGAAAAAAGAAAGTTACGAGCCACGGTAGGAAATCGACGCGTTTTTTGCCCCGTCCGTTTGAAGTGAAAACGAAAAGTTGGAGTGCCGTTTTCGTGGCGTGTGTCCGCTGGAGGGATAATTCCCAGCACCGTCGCGTGGAAGTGACGTCGTTTCCCCGAAAAGTGCCGTGGTTCGTGAGCTGAAGTGAAGGGTGTCGGATCGCCGCCAAGGGAAGCTAAATTTCAAGGATTTTTCCGCTTCCCGGCTAAACCCCAAGGATCCCCGAACACCCACCGTCCTCACTGCGGTGGCTCAGCCAGTAGAGCCAGTCTCGCCACCGCAGTTAAGAGCCAAGGAGGAACGAAGCAGGCAGAACCGAAGGAGCTTTCGCCTGGGTAGTGCGCTGCGGTGACTACCGGGACCATCTACGGCGAGTAGTTGGTCCGGTGATTCGTCACCATCGTCGCCGAGGGGGTTCCGATAAAGGAGCCTTGCTCATCCCCCCCGCTAAACGCCAAGGACCGCTGCTACGCAGCTAAAGTGAAGTAGGAGACGCTCGGCACAGACCGTGTCTGGAGCCGACGTGAACAAGCCGCAACCGCCGCCGCTATCGTCGAAGGGCCCCACCGAGTGACACCGAGGAAAACGAGGAGAAATAGGGAAAGGTCAGATTATAATAGACGTCTAAAATTGCATTTTTTCTTTCTCTTTTCTTAACAATCCATCTAAATCCGAACGTCTTTGGGGGAAGTACTCTGCTCGTAGCCGCCCCGCCGGGGTAAATCGGGCCAGCTATAGGCTGACAAGTAAGCCGTAACTTACACACGCAGTTTTGCAATGTACGGATAATGACGCTGCCAAAGAGCGACTTTTGAATACCCTCGAAGCTCAAGGAAGACAACCCTATGTTCCTATCAGAGACGTGCTGGCAACCCGCGATCTCTGCTATATGCAGTCGGTTTATGTGTTTCTACAAATGTCTAGTATAAGAACTTAATTCCTTTGTCTTTTGTCTCTCTTTACTAGTTTTTGTTTGTCTCCCACAAATCACCATACCCGGTCGATCTCCAGACGAAGCTAGTACCACACTACCGTTCATACTGGCGACATCGCTCTGATAAGACAACGAAACCACACCCCAAGCTCCTCCCTGATCCTACCCTTCAACAATGTACCCCTCTAACCTCGGGTAACCCAAGTAACCAAAATGTCTGATAAAAGGCTATTTGTGTCTTAAGCAGCTTGGTTGAAGGTGGTCTATAGAATTCTATTAAGCAGCCTAATTTTTAAGTCGTTATAAGAACTTGAAAGTTCCGGTATCATAATTGAAGAGCAGCTTCTGGCGGAACTTGAACGGAACTTTTAGAAAATAAATGTTTTTGTCCTCTACACCAATTTTATATTGTTCGCACTTTTATGAAAGTTAATTCTAAAGTCAGGTATTTTTTAAAGTTATTTCTAAAGGCAGGTATGAACGTGTATTGATATTTATCAGCATTAGTGTATTAGTATTGGAGCTGTTTGAAGAATCAAACCCAGTCCTTCTGCGTGAGAGCCCCAGCACAAACCTCTACGTCATCTGAAATATATTAAAGTGAGCTGTTGTCCCACCTACTGTTGGAGTTTTTAGTGCCAGCTGACTGACTTGAATACGAAACACAACACCTTGATGAATTTGAAATTGGTGTTTGCCCGCCTGGTATTCCAACACAATTGTGGCGCAGTGGTTAGCGTTCGTAGATCGCATGTCAAATACACGAGTTTAAATCCAGGAAATTGCTCTTTGGTTTTTTTGTGTTTGGATAGAATATTGATGCACTGCATAAATATAAGAATTGTGATGTATTTGAGTCACTGATCATTTCATATTTACGCACATTAAATTTTGTTGCTAATAAAGGCTTGTGCGGATTGAGTCATGTGGGCTATGATGGCCTTTTTAGAAACTTTCAAGTTGCTAAGAAGTTCCGCAGAGAACTTTTAAGATATTTTAAAGTTGCTTAAAAGTTCCGCTGGGAACTTGTTCGGAACTTTGTTGTGGACATGTTTTCAGCCTTGCCTGAAGTTCCTAAGAAGTGCTTAGGGATGCTTTTTGGAACTTTTTTAGAACTTCAAGTTGCCAGGAGTACGCATCGGAACTTTATGGAACTTGAAAGTGGGTTTTATCGTTCTGTCGGAACCTTATGGAACTTGAAAGTTCAGTCAAAACTTTATTCGAACTTTATGGAACTTGAAGGTTCTGTCGGAACTTTATTTGAACTTTATGGAACTTGAAAGTGAGTTTTATCATTGAATGCGGAACTTTTGGTTACTTGGGAAGCCGCAAGTATTTGGCCCAATTCCTACTAGACATAGATATAAGTGAATTTTGTCAAAAACAATGAACAATGAATTATTGGCTCCGTAAAGCTAACGCGATTGTGGAAGGCTCAACTAGAACGAACTAGATAAAATCTTACCTACCATTACGACAACATATTATTTTTTTCGGAAATGGTAGAGAACAATCATAAGACCACATGCCTACCATGGGATCGGTTCCGGATGTTCCGGATTATGGTTCCATATGGTCAAATTTACTATCTCAGATAACCATATCATGCGCAAGGAATCAAAAATATTTCCAAATGACAAAATGACAAGCGAACCGAATGATAACGCTATGTCAGAAGTGGAAAGCAATAATGATATAATCTTCTTCCTTTTTTTCATGACAAGCAACCCGTGTGACACAGCTCACTCGGGGTGGTAGAAGGAAACGAGCAAATTGTTGGCAAGCTGCTTCACGAAGTAAAACCAACAATCAATACGAAACTAACGATTTTAAATTGGCTCACTACTTAACTAGCCTATTGGTCCCAAGCAAATCGATTACGATCTAGTCAAAATTCTAGTACTACACTATGTTTGTTTTGATTCGCTATGAAAGTTTGACAGATAATATGAGGGGTTAGTGGATTTTTCTATGTTTCGAGGGGTGAATCGATTAGCTTGGGACCGAAGATAGTACCAGAGCTGAGCCAAAAAGTTGAGCAAGTTTCTTCGGGACCTACCAGTCTTTGAGTTACCTCTATGGTAAAACCAAAGATGATACACGTGTGTTAATGGGATTTTTTGTTGTTATTGTTCAATTTTCGCGATTCAGATCAATCTATGTCCTCATCGGTGTATATTGCAACAAAGCAGGCAATAAATATATCATTATCATAATGAGAGAGAAAAGGATTAGTAATTTCCATTTAATTCGACTACCTTATTTGCTTATCCTTGACAGATACGCGTATTTCGTCTACAATGTGCAGACCTCTTCAGTGTCTTATACTAATAGTCGAGTATTTATACAAGACACTGAAGAAGTCTGCATATTGTAGACGAAATACGCGTATCTGTCAAGGATAAGCAAATAAGGTAGTGGAATTGAATGGAAATTACTAATCCTTCCCTCTCTCATTATACAGGTATTCCACTAAGACGCCCACATTCATTAGGATTTATATCATTATCTTTCAACCACTCTGATCGAGCTATGTTACAGAGCGAGTTTGTCGTGGTAGTCGTAGCAACCGTTTTGTCTGTATCGTTGGTTGCTTTATGTGTTTGGATTCGCTAATCATGCGACATATCAAATCACATCTACTCGATGAAATATGACCAATGGCACTCAAAATGATAACCA